AAGTGTAGGGTGAAATGTGGGGAAAAATTGAGTTGAGGAAGGAAAATAAGGAACGTGATCTAAATCATTTTTTTATGAATACTCTACAAACATAAATATAAACAGAAGAAAAATTTGTTAATGAGAAAAAAAAGGGAGAGTGGAGAAAATGATTGCTCAAGGATGAGCAATCTCTTAAGTTTTGAGGGTGTGATAACTCTCGAAAGTAGAGTTATATTAAGTTTTTATAGAGTTAATTTTGCTCTCATACCACTATTTTCTCGTTAATTGTTTCATTTGTTCTAATTAGTATACATGAAACAGTCAATTGTGGTTTAATATGAAAAGAAGTTCAATTTGCATAAATCAAGCTTAATTGCATACTTAATTGAGTTATTTGGTAAAATTCTAGAACATTCACATTGAACGATGATGCTGTAGCAAATCTGAAAACAGCACTCCTTGCATATGGAAATAAATTGTTGACTCTAATAAGCAATTCAGAACGCAAACTTTTCGGGGATAAATATGAAAATTTTAATCCACATCAGCAGTCCATGTGGGTCATTGACTACCAAATTAGAAACATCCTACGTGGACGATTTTATCCTTTCTCAACCCTAAATGAGAAGAAACAACCATTATAAAAAGAAAAAGAATACCTAAAAAAGGGGAGCCACGCTTTGGGAGAAAAATTGGATTAAACAGCAACAGCCTCTACTGCAGTGAACTGCTGTGAAAAGAAGATCAACAAGGATTGATTAAGGCAAAGTGGTGGACGTGAGAGCTCAAGGGAAGGGAATTTCCATTGACAGACGACAACAAACCGGGATAACTCTCTATTTCTTTATTCTCTTTTCTTATTCCATCAATTTTACATGATTGAGATGCAGATTCCTCTGTTTAATTCAATTTTTATGGAGAGCTAAACTTTATAGGGGAGACGAGAGAATTTTATATAGTTTAAGTATGTTGACGGTATGATCTTAGTTTATTAAAGAGTTGTTGTTAATGATTTACATGTGTGTTTAATTAGCTTCTTTACATACATAGTTGTTCTCTTAGTCGGGAGAAGAGAGGGAGCAATGAAATCCTTTTAAATACTTTATTTCCATTGCAAGGAGACTTGAAGGGTAGTAGAAGGGTTATTTTTTAAATACTTTATTTCCATTGCAAGGGGACTTGAAGGGTAGTAGAAGGGTTATGAATAATTCTTCTCCTAGAGCCTTGTTAATAGAAATTACAAACAATTATGGAAGTAATCAACATGCGTGACCCTTGAAAGTAGGCTTGAGAATCTATTAAGAGGAACTAAAATCTACTACTAAACTCAACAACTTATCTATTTAATCTCTCTTTGTCGAACCTTCCTCATTATAGTTGATTTTCTCATCATTTTCTTTTATTGGACAGTAGTGGCACGCTACATTAATTTTGTTTAATTAGTCAAAATCACCAACACCCACTTGAATGTTACCCAAAAACTCACTTAATTTCCAACGATAAAATTAACCAAAAGATAGGTTCTATGTGGAATCGATAGTTTACTTATTACTTGCTACTTGTGATAGTGTATGCTTGCACTTATTCTTGTTATTTTTACATCATTTTATTATGTACATCCGCAAGCGATCATTAACCAACAACTTTGGGAGGCACACGAGCAACGTAAAAAGAAGAAGGAGGAAACACTCGATCAAGCATTTCAAACCAGGGCGTCAATCAAAGATGAAAAGACACTCTACTCTCAAAATTTTCAAGGTAGAGGTCGTGGAAGTCGTGGAAATGGTCGCGGTGGTCAAGGCAGCAGTCATGAAGGATACTATAAGGAGAAGGGACACTCGAGCCAAGGAAATTGGCGTGGAAGAGGACGCAGTCGAGGAAGAGGCGGCTGATCAATTTATTCCAACATTCAGTGCTAAAAATGTCACAAATATGGTCACTATGCGAATGATTGTAACTTCGAAAAATGTTACAATTATGGTAGAGTGGAGCATTTTGCAAAAGATTGTCGAGCCGATAAAAAGGTGGAAGGAACAACCAACCTAGCCTTGGAAGACGTAACAAATGAAGGTCTTCTCTTGATGGCTCAAAATGAAGACAACATCAACAACGACACTCTGTGGTACCTCGACTCAGGGGCAAGCAACCATATGTGTGGTCACGAGTACCTATTCAAAGAGATGCAAAAGATTTAAATGGTCATGTGTCGTTTGGAGATGCGACAAAGGTGGAGGTCAAAGGCTGAGGTACGATACATTTCTTGCAAAAGGGTGGTTTAATGGGGTCAATCCAAGATGTTTATTACGTACCAAACCTCAAGACCAACATATTGTGTATGGGGCAACTCACAAAGAAAGGTTACTCGATATTCTTAAAAGACCGCCTGCTACACCTGAAGAACAAGCAAGGATGTTTGGCTGCTCGAGTCGAGATAGAAAGAAATCGGATGTACAAACTGAATTTAAGAAGCATACGAGAAAATTGTTTGCGAGTCGACGTAGAAGACAAGGCATCACTGTGGCATCTCTGCTTTGGTTACCTACATCATGGTGGCCTAAAAGAGTTAGCAAAGAAGAATATGGTGCATGGGCTACCCAACATGGGCTACCCAACATGGACTACAAAGGAAAATTTTGTGAAGAAGGCATGCTCAACAAGCATGCAAGAACCTCAATTCAAAATAAGGCTGAATTTTGGGCTAAACAACCTCTCGAGTTGATTCATACAGATATATGTGGACTAATTACCACCGAGTCTTTCAGCAGTAAAAGGTATTTCATTTCCTTTATCGATGATTACTCACGAAAAACTTGAGTTTACTTTCTGAAAGAAAAATCCTAGGCATTCGAGGTATTCAAAAAGTTCAAAGTGATGGTGGAGAAGGCAACTAGTAGACACATCAAAACGTACGATCCGATAGAGGTGGCGAGTATACTTCAACGACTTTCATGGAGTATTACGAGGAGCAAGATATAAGGCGATTTCTAACCGCACTGTACACCCCTCAACAAAATGGTGTAGCCGAGAGAAAAAACTGGACCATTCTCAACATGGTTCACTCAATGCTCAAGAGCAAAAGGATGCCAAAGGAATTTTGGGTAGAATCGTGCAATGTGCCATCTATGAGCAAAATTGATGTTCACATGTGAAGTTAGATGATCAAACACTACAAGAGGCTTGGAGCAGACAAAAGCCTACAGTTTCTCATCTCAAAGTGTTCGATAGTATGACTTATGCTCACGTACCAAATTAACGAAGAACGGAGCTTGAAGACAAAAGCAAAAGGTATATTTTTATTGGGTATGATGAGAAGACAAAAGGATATAAGCTACTTGACCTGATAAGCAAAACAGTGTGCTGAGTCATGATGTGCGAGTAAATGAAGCAAGCGAATGGGACAGGAACAATTTGATGGAAGTCAATATCGAAGTTGGAGAATCATCAGTTGTTGCACCAACAAGTACACCATCAAACAAAGAAATTTTCGATGATGAAGATGAACCACAACAACCCAAAATGCGAAGTTTGTGAGACTTGTATGATTCAACAAATGAGGTACACCTTGTATGTCTTTTGGTAGATGCTGAAAATATCAGCTTTGAAGAGGTAGTGCGAGACAAGAAGTTGCAACTGCCATGAACGAGGAGATTAAAACGATTCATCGCAACAATACATGGGAGTTAACAGAATTACCGAAAGGAAGTTAGCCCATTGGTGTGAAGTGGGTGTTCAAGAAAAAGATGAATGCTCAAGGCATGATAGAGCGGTACTGTAGAAGTTGAATGCAGCTCTAATGCCAATTTGTTGAAACTAACGCTGCTCTGATACCAATTTGTTGGAATTGAAATCGCTCTGATACCAATTTGATGAAGTAAGCTAAAGTTGCTCCGCTACCAACCTTGAAGTAAAACGCTCGCTCTGAATCTAACTCGTTTAGAGAACTCTCACGAAACTTTAAGAGAGGAGGTGCGCAAAGGGAGAGAGAGACACAAGGAGACAAAGAAATTCTCGAGAGGTTATTACACACCAATTCAGACAGTCAATGTTTTTCTTCTCTTTCTTGTAGTTATTTCTCTCTGCACTATTACATTGAATACATGAAGCCTTTTTATGACATTTCATGAGGCCAAAGTTGGCTTTAACTACCCACCATTTTTTTCACCAATTTATTTCCCCTTCAGTAAATTTTTCCTTTATTTGCTCTCCATACCAGAGATAATTATGCCCTCATAATTAAATCGTTTTGACTAAAGAAAAACAAAAAACAAAAAATAAAAACATTTAAGTTTATTTTCCAACAAGTACAAGGTGCGATTTGTTGTAAAAGGATACAAGCAAAAAGCGGGAATCGACTATGACGAAGTGTTTGCTCCCATTGCAAGAATGAAGACAATCTAATTGCTCATTTCTCAAGCGGCTCAATTCAAATGGCCGATTTTTTAAATGGATGTCTAGTCGGCATTCTTGAATGGTGTGCTTGAAAAAGATGTCTACCTCGAACAGCCACCCAGGTACATGAAAATTGGAGAAGAGAAGAAGGTACTAAAATTGAAGTTTTTCCTTGGTTTGGAGGTCAAACAAGGAGAGAAGGGTATTTTTATATCACAGGAGATATATACAAAGGAGGTCTTGAAGCAGTACAAGATGGAAAATTACAACCCAGTATCAATACGAATGGAACTAGGTGCAAAACTCTCAAAGTACAATGAAGGAGAACGAGTAGATGCAAATAAGTACCGGAGTTTGGTAGGAAGCCTTCGCTATCTTACATGCACAAGGCTAGATCTTTCATTAAGTGTCGGCATTATAAGCCTATTCACGGAGGAGCCGATTTATTCACATTGGAAGGCGTTGAAGCGAGTCCTACGGTACATCCAAGGAACGGTGTCACTTGGATTATTCTACTCGAAAACAGAAGTGTAACGACCGCTCTCCGATGCATCGAATCACAAATCGCTACGTGGACTCTAGGATAAAAAGCCTTACAACATTTTCATTTGATAAAACGGAAGACACAATAAAATTAAAGTTACCTGATAAGCATTAAAAATCCGAATAGTTCCAAAACATAATGGGATCTGCGGAAACACATCAAAAGAAAATCAGTTACAAAATAGCATAAGTTTTCCCAAAATAAAAATCAAAATGACATTAAAACGACATGGACAAAGAGGACTCGATCTAAGGGTCTCCACTGTAGCCGCACAGCTCCACACGTTCCCGCTACCGACATTGGTCTACTTAACACCTGAAAAATAGCAACAACATGGGATGAGTATAAAAATACTCAATAAGCAACCTACTTGTAGGCTCTTATCGGACTTAATTATGTTCACGAAAAACTTTGGCTATATGCTCGAATCTATCTCTAGCAAAGTCGACTATGGTCTCAAAAGAAGACCCCATGGATTCTATTGATATGGATTTTCTTCCATACCTAACTATCTACTGAGCTTAAATCAGTGGATTTTCCCCTAGTGGTGTCTGGCCTTAACTACTGGTTCCTGAGAATCAATAACAAACTGCCACTACGCCCCGCCGGGCTGGGTCAGTAAACTACCTATCTTACACCTCGGGTTTAGATTAGTAAAAGGCCATGGCTCTCCCCGCTAGGCACCCCTAACATGGTACTACAGTAGGATACTTGCTAAGGCCACCCATATCCACAATAGGTGATAACTAAAAGACGGTAACTCACAATCTACAAAATTTATAATTCACGATATCTAGCACATAGCAAAATGTTCCAATTCACAAATGTGCAATAATGGGCTATCCACACCCCAATACAAAGTAGAACAAAGTATCAAGGCTCACATCATACTTATCATGCAAATCAAGAAATAACAATCTATCTCGACTTCCTAGGAAACACATAAACCCAAACGCCTATCAGAGAAATTCAGAATAATGTATGCGGAAGCTATATAACCCTAACTATAATCAAGGTATAAACACTCACGATATCGAAGTACTATACATGAAACTAATGTTAACCAAACTCCTAAGTATAATACTAGATCATTTGCCCATACTCCAAACTGACTCCTACAAGCATTTCTTAGAACTTGTTCCATGCGGTTACTTACTTGTTGTAGACTTCCCGAGCTTCTTTCGGGTCTTCAACAAATTTTCAATTCGTTCAAAGATCTACAATTAGGTCCTACATTGAGAAAATATATCAAAACTATAGAAGTTGAGTAGGATTCGAGTTCAAATAATACAAATTTGCGAGCATTGGCCTCAGAACCGTGGGTCATGCATACCTTCGGGTCTGGTTTTGGGTAGTGGATTGGAATATGCTAATTGGGTCGGGTCGGGTCGGTTCTGGCAGGGCGGTTTGGTACAGCGAGTCGATTTATTCCAACAGTTCGTTAAATCCAACAATCAACTCCTTTCTTCCCCCGACTTTTCTTCCCTTCTTCAGCTTCTTCGACACTTACCAATGTTCCCTTTTTTTTTCTTCTTATTTCAAAACATCTTGGTTCAACCCCCCTCCCTCGAATTTATTGGCTTCTTACCAACAAGAGTTAAAGAGAAGTTTTGGGTAGGTGGCGACTACTCAATGCCTTTTCATATTTCTGTCTTTTCATATTTCATATATATATATATATATATATATATATATATTCCTTTTATTGGTACAACTAGCTTTTCCTCATTTAATGCCAGCTGTATGAGTTATTACAAGAAGATTACAAGTTAGTTGGTTACTCTGATGGTGATTGGTGCGGAGACATAGACGATCGAAAAAGTACATCGGGTTATGTATTCTTTATTGGCAACACAGCTTTTACTTGGCTTTCAAAGAAACAACCGATCGTGACACTCTCGACGTGTGAAGTTGAGTATGTGGCAGCATCTTGGCGTGTGTGTCATGTGATATGGCTTAGAAATTTGTTGAACAAGATGGAACTAAAGCAACGAGATTCAACCGTGATTCAAGTTGACAACAAATCAGCAATTGAGTTGGCAAAGAACACAGTGAACCATGAAAGAAGCAAACACATTGACGTTTGTTTTCACTCTATCTGAAATCATGTGAAGGAAGGAAGTGTGGAATTGCTGCATGTGGCAAGTCAGGATCAAGTTGCGAATATCTTTACAAAATCGCGACCGAAAGTATTTTTCGAAAAATACAAGAAGATGATTGGCATAACAGATCGCAGGAGCATTTGAGTTTATGGGGAAGTTTTATTGAATAAACGTTAAATGTTATTTTTTGGTTAATTTTAATGGTTTTAAATTCAAAAAGAAGAGGAGAAAAGGGTTGAAAATGAAAGGACAAGATTTATTTCAGAAAAGAGTTGATTTTATGGGCGAGGAGATAGTGTCATCATTATGGCTATATTTAGTTTTAGACGAGGTTATAAATACATATAAATACATGTACTTTCTATTATACACGGAGAAAAAAAGAAAACAAACAAACAAGTAATAGAAGAAGGTTTTTCAGATAAATAGAGTGTTCGTTGTCTTCTTCCATCGTCAGTGTGTGTGTGAGATTTATTTCACAAATTTGTGAGTTTTCTTTAACAACTTGAACGCAGTTGTTCCGTTCGATTTTCTCCAATACCTGAAATCAGAACATATTTTCAAAAACTCATATCCTTGCTAGAAGCTCTGGTAGAGCTAGAGTATGATGATCCAAAAAATAAGTGAGATCGTCAAAATAGCATATCCATCGGGATTCTTCTTTATCCCAGAAGACTTTCATAAAACCAGAAGATTCTATGAATTTATTTAGTGGATACAAAATTAGTTGAAATTACTCATATCTCGAATCACGATAATCCTTAAAAAATGGCGTATTCAAAACTCAAAATTTTTAAAGTCATGAACGTATTGGAATCAAGATTCATACATGAAGAAAACTTTTTCAAAACACTTTGTTCCTCGTTGATTCTCTTGTACAGATTATCAAATGACATGGTTTAATGTTAATTGGTATCAAAATTTCGAGCACTCATAGTTCATTCAATTTTGAATGAATGCCCATAAAATCAATTATCCATTTTGGTTCATCTAGAATATCTTTGGACTATATATTTTCTGTCCTAATACAAGAGTCAGCTGCTCATTCCCCCTTTGCCATGCTCTTTATAGAGGAAATGAACTCTTCATCCGTAGCAGAAGCATTGGGAACCGTTTTGATTTTTATTATGGATTAAAACAAAAGCAATAAATATAAAGTAAAAACTCTACCTTTGTAGAAACCCTATAGAAACCCTAGCTTGCAAGGTCAAGGCTTGTGGAGGCTCTTGAAAGAAAATCCCTAAAGAATTGGAGAAGAATAGTTTCAAGAATTCTCTAGACATGTAATTTCATTCTCCAAAGAAAGTGGGAGAGATTGGTGTATCTTTGGCTCAACTGGAAGGTCCTATTTATAGGGACTCGTGGAGAATATTTGCATATTTAATATATTTGGATATTATACCTTATACAAATCATATTTAGATATTATAAGATATCCTCATATATATTTAACTAATTTGAATCTCATTCAAATTCTAAAATGTATCAAATTATATTAATTAATTTAATATTTAATTGTATCAAATACAATAAATATATATATATTTTTTAATATATCTAATATATTAAATATTAATTTGAACCCTTCAAATTAAATATTTTTTTCTATTTATTTAATATATTTAATATATTAAATATTAATTTGACATTTCAAATTAAATTTATTTTTTCTTTTATATTTAATATATCTAATATATGTAGTATCAATTTGAACCCTCCAAATTTTCTTTCAAATAAATTGAACTTTTAGTGTTACTATAAGCTAGAAAGGGGACCTTATGGACCTACCGATAATAAGCTCGAATGATACAAAATTAATTAATTTAACTCTTTAATTAATAAATTTCCATTCATTAACTATAAGTCCTACTATAGACCTAGAGTTGCAGTATTATGCATGGTAGGATAAGTTATGTCCATTGATATAATCATTACAAGCAAGTCGATCATTCACGAGTTGTTCATAATTACAATTGGGTCAAAAGTCCATTTTACCTCTGTAATTACATCTTTCTCCTTAAGTACTACCGATCACATCATAAACCAAGTCCCTCTCGGGCCAATGAGAGGGTGGGGCCCATTATTCAAGTCCCAAAATCAGTACTTAACATAACAACTCATCTACTTTCCTTGTATGTAAATGAGTGAATTACATCTCATGATATTATGTTCTTAACTCTCTATTTGGTTAACTCTCCAAAATGGCAGGCATATTGAGTCGGCTAAAAGAGTCATTCTCACCCATGTAAATTATAGAACAAGCCCTCACAGGTAGGAGTTCATAACTCACTCGGGATTAAGATCGAGTCGCATATGATCATCATGTAAAATATTAATCTTCCCAATTAACGGATTTATAAAGAGAGATTAAATATTTCTAGTTCAGTCTTATACAAACTCATTGTATAGGATGCCCCCACTTACATGTCTCCACATGAACGATTTGGATCAAATCATTTGTAACGATTACAAAGTGGGCCGTATCAATAGTGTTACCAGGATAAGGCTCTTTAGGTTATTACTTAAACACAATCCTCTTCTATGTCAACCACATACTATTCAAGATTACATTAATAACCTTGAATTTTCCTACCATGGATAACAATTAAATTACAAATAAAATAATAAAAATTATTGTTAAAAACTAAATAATTAATTATGAGGATTTATGGCATAAATCCCAACACTTTGTATATACTTTCAAACTAGCTCGCTTTTAACTTGGAATATAGAAAATGAAGATCAAATAAAACATATCTTCAAAACAATAAACTGAGATAAATACACTTATACCCACGTAGGTCTATGAAGGTTCGGTTATCTAAGTTCTTCAACTCAAAATCTATGCTACTTGCAACATTAGCACGGACAACTTCAGAAGGTGATTTCCTAAAGCTTCTTCAAGAAGCCACATCCATCGATTCAACATCTTCTCCTCCTATTGTAGAAGAGAAAGAAGACACTATCTACGGCCTCAATGATTCATTTTTGGATTCCCAACCACTGGGTGAAAAACAATATCTACAATCCTGACATTATTCCTGACATTATTCCTTTAGCTTTATTTCTTTTCCATTTTATTTCTCTCATTTTATTTTCTCTTTTTCAATCCTTATCTTATCTTTCTACCTTTCTTTTCATTTCTTCCTTATTTTGTAAATTACCTAGGATTGATTGTAAATCTTAATTTCTTCCTTATTATGGTAAATTATGCCGATAGAAATTATTTAATTATGCTAGGTATTCATGTAAATAATAAGTTTTCAAATGGTATCAGAGCCTCCCATTTGTGAGAGAATAGGAGATAGGTTTGAATGAGGTGTTTTTAAATTTTAATGCTTATTTATTTCATTTATTATTTCATTCTGTCGTTATAAACATGTTTTAAGATGAAGTCTACGTTATAAACATGTTTTCTGTCGTTATAAACACCGCTGGGCCACTGTCCCTAGCTGGTGGGCATGCTCTGGGGGCCCACCGGGACCCGTTAAAACTAAAATCGTCACGGCAGCGCTATGCAGGGCATAATGATCGTTGTCCTGCCATTTGGATGTACGCGTCCGTACCCTCGTGATGGAATAGGGGTATCCCCCCAAATGCATGATCACACAATATGCATGAAGTCTCACTAGTCCTACAGTCATCATTTAATGAACATAACCCCGTGTCACGTTTTCATGCTTACGTGTCATTCTCATTCTCATTTCGTTACATATCATACATATTCCTAGCGGGGTTATGTATCATGCAATTTACTGTATTTCATGTCATACAATTCATTCCGTTACATTTCAATACTCATACAAGGGTCACACATCGTCACATGCATTCATATCACATCAACTAAGCAGCATAAATAACATACGTTCACGTTCACATGATTTCGTACGTAAGTATAATAATCTAGCATACAATGTATCATATCATAACCAAGTCATAATGTAAACACTTCATAGTCATATCGTTCTCTAACTTACCATAGCCTTAATGTTCTTATACCTATCACAGACATATCATTACGTGACGTACCTTAGTCATATCGTCACAGAACGTACCCTAACGCTATCGTTCTATCAATCTATCACAAACCTATCCCTTTCTACCCATAACCTAACCGTATTCTTTCATCAATCTCTCATATCCATAGCACTCCGGTATGTAACCTAACTCTAACATTTCATGAACGTATCTTACTCCTATCGTTACATTTCGTTTAGTGCATCCTTCTCGTACCCTATCTCAAACATATCCTTGAGCACATCGTACCATAATTATTATCATACAAACCACATATTATAACATAACATAACATATAGGAAGTATATCGATCCACAGACAATTCACACATATCAATATATATGACACGTGCAGAACCACAAGGCACGTGTCAACATCAAATATAACCATGCCGATAGTAAGGTCACTTACCTGGCCAGCTTAAGTCGTTGTCACGAATATATCTTTAA